CGAATGCTGCCGCCGCAACTGTCGCTGCAGCTGGAGGACAGCAGATGACACAGGTAGACGTCACTGACTGTATATAAAGACCATCACTGACTGTATATAAAGATGATCACTGACTGTATATAAAGACGATCACTGACTGTATATAAAGACACTGACTGTATATAAAGACACTGACTGTATATAAAGACACTGACTGTATATAAAGATAATCACTGACTGTATATAAAGATGATCACTGACTGTATATAAAGACACTGACTGTATATAAAGACACTGACTGTATATAAAGACCATCACTGACTGTACATCAGGTAAACAGGACGGATGAAGTAATTTTTTATTGATCAAATAACATAAATAGGACGAATGTTTCACTGTACATATAACCTGGAAAGCAAAAAAATAAATAGTGTTACATTAATAAATTAAAAGCATGAAATGGACCAGTTGACGTTAGCTCGGAGTTGGTGAGATGAGATACTGAGTTGTGTTCGTCTCCGAGGACGACGGTGCAGTTCCATGGCTATTTACACACATTTTATACACATGTTCCCAGGATCAGTAGCTTTCAGCTCTTTACTTCACATTATTCTTTTCACAAATTCAGTAAGTTCAGCAACAATTTAAAAAACTACCAAAAGCAAAAAGCAGCGGCTGATTATTAAAAACCTTTAGTTACATGTTACAACAGCATCGTCACAGCTATCGACGTTTCTTTAACACGTGTTCAGTATCAAATACTTCAGTCAGTTACAAAAATATCACACACTTTTTTTTATACCAGCGTCTTCACATCATAACATCGAGACATCAGTGACCACAGCAGCTCTCAACCTTCAGCTCTCAACCTTCAGCTCAGCTCCTCAGAACCAGATCAGATCAAACCAGCCTGAACCGGACTGAAGCAGATCAAAGCAGTCTAGACCACGTGAGACGTTGGAACTCTTTTGGCCTCCAGGCATCTGGTCGGTGGAAGAAATCTAGAGGGAGAGCTGCATAGCTAATGTTAGCATTAGCAGCCCACTAATCTATCAACCAATGTCTCCAGAGGTGAAACAACACCGTTAACGTTCGTTTTCTTCTGTTTCTATCACTTCTTTGTTTCTACTAAAGTTAGCATGTTAGCATGTGATAACCTCTGCTTTGCTCATGGAACATCGTCACCAGAGAAAACTCTTTTAAAATTCAAAGAACAGTCGCATCCGCAGATCTGAGCTCCTACATGACTTTAAACCAAATGACAAGAGTCAGATTGATTTCAGTCACAGTTCCTAAACTTTCATTACGAGGTTCACTCAGTAGCTGCTCTGGAGCTTCTGACCATATTATGTGTTCTTCATTCAGATATGAACCAAAACTCCTTGAAATGATCAGAAAATACGTTTTTAAACATCTACACTTCACTGTTAATTCCATCTGCTGATGAAGCTCATGTGGTCAAAAGCTCCAGAACAGCTACTGAATGTACATTCAGGCAACGTTCTGCTAATTTAAGAGGCTGATTGTCAGAAATCCTGAATCTTCAGGACACAAGATGTTTCTGTTGATTTACAGTCTGATCACTGAGCTGAAACTCCAGAGGACACCTCCAGACTGAGAGCTGCTGAACCTCCAGTCTCAGATCCAATGTGACTCTCCTTCAGATTCACTGTCATGTGCATACAATCACGGCCGGAGCGCCTGAGAGACGACGGCTGGAAGTGAAGAGGAAACTAAAAGAATTCTACATCACCTGGACACAAATGCTGCAGGTTCTCCGGCGTGTAGCACCAGACTAAAACCAACATGTTGGTGGCTACAGCTTTCATAGTCCAGCCCTGTATCCACACACACACACACACACACACATAAGTTTTTGTTATTCTTCCGTTTCTTCCATTGTCTATTAATTACGCCATGTCAGCATCCTTTTCCTGTTGCCATGGCAACCAATAATGCTTCAACGTTCAGAAGACAAAGGTAAGCGTGGGTACCATCATGAGTATGTGTAGTTAAAATCAAGTATAAGAGCATCAAGCGTACTACACTGTCGGAGGAAATGCCAGATGATGTTTGGATGATAGATGTCCATTGAAAATGTGTATAGGGAAAATTTTAAAAAAAAAGAAGTCGAGGAGATAATCGACTAAACATGAACAATCGGACGAAGTCTAATATCAGATCAGGGAGGAAGTGATGACAACGTTTCAGTCAATTCTCAAACTGATGAAAATTGATGTAGTTTACATGTTCTTGATGTTTGATAATTCAATGTCCTTTAAATTAAATTTAGCCACATCACAGATTTTTCTAATCTATATTTTCTTTATTCAGGACATGTTTAGCCTAGCTTAGCACAAAGACTGGAAACTGAGGTTAGCTCCATCATAAGAGAAAAAAAGAATGAATTTCATTTGATAAAGAGCGACTCTTTAAGTTGGTGAGCTTGAAACAAGCTGAATGACAGTTAGCTAGTTTCGTTCGCTCAGTCGGTAACGGGGAACATGTCTCTATCTATAAGTTAATAGTCTGACAGTGCAGCGTAGTGACACGGCTAATAAGCTAAGATATCCTTCTCCATTATGGGCTCTAACACGTTTCACACAGATCATCCTTTGGTCAACATCTCAGATTTAATGATTTCTTTGCCCTTGAAATGTCTTGTTAGCTAGCAAAATAGCGCACCACCAAATCCACACAGGAGACACCTGGATTTTGTCGACTAGAGCCAGGGATGAAAACCTAGAACGTTATGCTAACTGGACCATACATTAATATTTTAATCCTATCAAAGAAGCCTTTGACAGCTGCTAACAAGAAGAGACAATGTGTACAACAAGAAGACTTCGAGTGGTTGGTCATTTGTACTAGGCTAGGCTAAGGTGAAAAGACTCAACATCACGTGGTTCATATTCTTTCTATCGGCCAACATTAGCCTAACGTGGTGTTTTTGGTTACATGGTGACTTTGATGAACCCTTATTTCTGAAGGCTGGTGTAAGATAAGCTATTGGTCAGACACACACACACACTCACACACGAAAAACGTTTTCCCTTGAGAGTCCTTCCTGACAGGTGTTAAGGATTGAAAAGGTCGAAAAGCTCTGCTCTTCTACCTGAACTCAACTACTCAACTGCTGCTGCTGGACATAACAGAGCGTCTGCACAAAGTTCTCCCGTCAATGAAGAGTCTTGAATGCTAAACCTACACAGACACGAACATCCCTGTTCCCTTTGTCTGGTATTCATTATTTAAGGTAGTTCAGGTGAAATAAAACTGAGGAAGGAAAGAATCCTTGTGTTGAGTCCAGTTGTTCGATGGCCGAGAAGTCATCCAACTAAAGCAGGGAAGCTTAACGTTCATTCAGCCGGTAGGACAACGTGCTGCTGGGACTGAGTGGAGATCAGGTGCGTTCACTACAGTCCTGTGATGGATGACATCCTTTGGTGGCGATATCGTCAACGCAGACAGCAACATGCAGCACAAGCTTGGCAGATCGAAAAAATCCAAAACTTCCAGGTGATGTGTTGAATGTTCCAGCAAAATCCAAAAACGACGGGTTCCACAAAAACAAAGAGGAGAATGTGAAGAAAGGAGGCTGTGATGCGTCTGCATAAGCAAAACTTCTACCACTACGAGAGATTGGCGAATTATTTAGCACTCTGACACCGGAGGACGGCAACAGCAGAAATTGTTTGGAGGCGTTAACCGGGCTGAGGAAATAGACAGCATCAGCTCTGACCCCTGGTAGGAGTCCCTGCGACCTACGGTGGGATAAAGAGTCAAGACACGAGTACGAACAAAAAAAGTCCAGCCCAGGCACAAAATTTAAAACCCAGTCCTTTACCCCCAGAAAAACAAAATAAGAAAAACTTTTGGCTTTGTGGTTATTTACAGTGACTTCCTGCGAAACAGTTTGATGTCCACCAAGTTTCTACAGAATAGCAGGACTGGATACTGGCGACCCAGCGCCGGCGTCAAAGGTCAGGGTCAAGTCTTCGAGCAGGGAGGGGGTGGAGCTAACTGTGTCTGTCTGTTGTTGTATCTGCATGTGTAGTGATTCACGTTTATTCTACACATGTTGTATGGGTGTGGACTCAGCTAGCTCCATCTGCTCCCTTTGGTTCCACCTCCAGCTACTGGCGGACCTCGTTGGCAATCAGACTGTCCTCCCCTGACTGGAAATCCGCCTCGTTTATGCTGTTTCCTCCGTTCAGTATCTCCTCATCCTGGGATGACCCACGGTCCTCCTCGCCGCTGCCGCCCCCTGGCTCGTCTGAGTTTGGGTCCTGAAGCACCTGGGCGATGTACATCTGTTGCTGCTGCTGCTGCTGTCGGACCACATAAAACCCCAAGAACCAGGTTAACCAGCAGGGGGAGACAAAACACAGAGCTCACAACCTACAATGAATTTTAAAGTATTCAGACTCATTTGATAGATAATTCAACCTGAGGATTAACATCACAACATTTTCTGATCGAACCAACAATGTTGAAAGTGGGGGTGGTGAAGGGGCTGCAGCACCCCCACTGACAAGGTGCTGTAACTACAATAAACTGGAGAAATAAAAATTCCTTCAAACAAACCTCCCCCTTGAGTTACTAACGTCGTCTCACCTGAGATTTGGTGATGGGCGAGGACGAGGGACGAGCTGGACGTCCATTCTCAACAGTGTCCACATCGTTCTCCTTGGTGTCGATCTGAGAACAAGTAAGAGTGAGACAGTGTCCTGAACAAATACATTATGTTTCATTATCAGTGTTTAGCAGCTTCCATTAAAAGACTGCTGTACCTTGTAGTTGTGAGCACTCAGGTACTTGAAGTGTCCGAAACAGACGTGGGACAGACAGACCACGATGGTGACGATCAGCACCACCAGAGTAAACATGGAGGTTGGTGTCTCAAAACCTGTCATATAAGCATTTGTTAGCACATTAACTACACGTCATAACCGTCACCACACAATATGGAGCATGTTTTTGTCTTGTTTCAGGTTTTGACTCCTTCGATAACTTAACACTGAGTAGAAAATGTAGCTTAGCAGTTTGTCCAGCAGGGGGCAAAGTTTACCTGTGCGTACAGTGGAGAAGAAGAGTAGCCAGAAGAGGCAGAGGATGGGTGCAGCCACCACCTGGGTGACGGCTCCGGAGTGGATCTTCTTGTCCAGTTTGGACGGCAGGTAGGCGTAGTACATGTTGTATCGGTCCACCAGGTGTTTAAGCAGCATGTACATCAGACCTGCAGGGGGGGCAGGTGAGTCACACGGGTGCTTTAATATCCTCTGATTAGAGCAGGTAATGCTGACTTGACAAGACCTGAGGCAGAATGGACTGATTGAAAACTCATTGAAACCTGACCTGGACTACTGAGATCTGGATTCTGACTTGGTGGAATCAGAGGAGTCTCGGGACTCGTTCACACCTGGTTTGGTTCAAACCTTCAGACTCGTCAGTTCAGTCTGAAGCTGAACATCAGGTGTGAAAGGTTCCTCAGACCAGAAGAGGAGTTCTGGGTCTGGATCAAACTGAACCAGGTTCTGTTGGTTCACAGTGAAAACTCTTTGTTGGACCAATCACAGGAAGTAGAGACACATTAAACCATAGAAGAAGAAGAGGAAGCAGCTGCAGTCTTCACCTTCGATGATAAAATGTTTGAACCACCAGGACGTTCGTTTTGTGTATTTGAACTAGTGAGTACTGTAGTACTGTGGAGTACTGCACCTGAAGGTGCTGAT